AGTTATTAAAGCGACTTGAGTTGAGGAGATGAGAGCCTAGGTATATGTCCTGCAGTCCTGTCACCAATGCTGTAACTGGTTTTGTCATCGTTAGGTGGGCAGGAGTACAGGCGCAAGGTCTGTGCAGAGTTCCCATGGCCCTGTCAGGCGAAGGTGCGTACACAGGAATTAGCTCCCAGTTGGAACTGTCGTTGCAGAAAACTTTTGCACTGGTGTGTTTTGCTCCTGAGAGCTGGTCAGCCTGAGCACTAGGAGTATCAAGCCGCTACTGCTGCCTTTGCCCACTGGAATGACACGGAGCATGACACAGAGCTGAGAAGTGGATTTTTGGATGTTTTAAATGGAGAAGAAGGGGAAGCTAAGGGGATGTTTTCCACAAACCTGTAGGAAATGAAGTTCTGAGTTGTTTGCTCTACAGGGTTAGATTTCAATGTAGGTATTAACGCATTTCTAGAGTAAACTTACTTAATGGTTTGGACAGACATTGAACATGTTTCTGTGGATTCTAGGGGGCTATGTTTTAAGGCTGCAACACTCAAAATTGTATAGGTTTTCTCAGTTTTGTTGGAGAAAACCTAAGTTCTGTGAAAAATGTGCCAACTCTGTAGTTGGTACAGGTAGTAATCAACAGTGGTTACATTCTTCATGGGGAATATTTCATGTGAGTGAGATTGTGGCTAAGTGTCTTTTGCACACGGTGATTCTTTGCTTTGTAACTACAGCAGCCTTTCCTTCTGTCTCTTATTGTGCTACCAAGAGGGTAGCACACTTTTTATTTTTGTAGAAAAATGTATTGTCAGCAGCAGATAATTTTGCAGCAGGGATATATTTTAGGGCATTTCTACATAAAAGAGTTAGTGAGGGCAAAACAGATCATGTGAATGTAAAGGAAGATCACCCTTTTGAAGTAACTCTGAGCAGATGACAGACAGTGACTTCCCTAGCCTTCATGTGACCAGCAGGACTAGGGAAGTGATGGTCCCCCTGTACTTGGCACTGGTGAGGGTGCACCTTGAATACTGTGATTCTGAGGTGCTGCAGCGTGCCCAGAGAAGGGTATCGAAGCTGGTGAATGATTTTGAGGACAAGTGTTATGAGAAGCGGCTGAGGGAACTGGGGTTGTTTAGCCTGGAGAAAAGGAGGCTCAGGGGAGACCTTATTGCTCTCCACAGCTCCATGCAAGGAGGTTGTAGTGCGGTGAGGGTTGGTCTCTTCTCCCAAATAGCAAGTGATAGGACAAGGGGAAATGACCTCAAGTTGTGCCAGAGGAGGTTTAGAACAGATATTATGAGAATTTTTTTCACCGAAAGATTTATCAACCACTGGAACAGGCTGCCCAGGGAAGTGGTTGAGTCACCATTCCTGGAGATATTGAAAAGATGTGTAGATGTGCTGCTTAGGGACATGGTTTAGTGGTGGACTTGGCAGACAATTCTATGATTTTCAAAAATAAGGTGGCCCTCCAGCTTTTCAGCTGCTTGTCATGGGTTCGGGAGAAATTGCTCTAATCCTAAAATATAACCATCTCTTCATCATAGGCTTCTACCAAAGCAAGGTCATTTGTTGTTGTTATTTAATTTCTGTCTTTCCTCAAAGTGCAGTTTTAATGTTTTTGTATTTGAAAGGTCAGAAGTTAGTGGCTTACTCATTATTTCGTTCATCAGTGAATGCTCAGCTGATACTTGTCTAGAACTACCAGGCTGGTTGTGAATTGCTAATGAGCTGATTGACAAGGTTGAAAGCACTTCTTAGTAGAATTTAAGTCTTGCTTTTGTTTTTCATTTGTGCTACATAATGGGTAAATGATGAGATGTAGCAGTTTCTTAAATTGCTTGTGTGTGTGTGTTTCTATTATACCCAAATGAAACTATTTTAGTTATTCCTTACCCTCCTTTACTAGTCTTATTAGAGATTCTGCCTTTTTCTTGAAGAAATTCATTATGAAAATAAGCACCAAGAAAGCTGTTAAAGATATTCCAGGCTTTTCTTTTAATATTAATTTCAAAATGTTAATTTTAAGTTCATTTCAAAACCTGTTATTGAAATAGCTATAAATGACAAACTAAAATTGCTTCTACTTAGTAGAGAGAGTTTACATGTTAAGGTGTTGCCTTTTATTAAATCTCCTTACACAAAAGGCATCTGATCTAGACAGACTATAAAATTTTAACCTACAGAAATATAAAAAACCAGGAGAAACTCTAAACCAGACCCTAACAAACCTCTCAGCATTTTGTCCTCGGTGACTATAGCTGCTGCATCTTCCTGCTGTGTTTGATAGTCATCTTGATTAATACAGATCAGTGCAGAGAATTCTGTAGGGAACTGTTAACATCCATATACAGCCAATTAAAATGTTTTATAAATAGAAGATATACATTAAATGACATAAATTTGACTTGACTTGGCTTATAGAACGAAGTTAAATTTGGATTTTCATGTAGCTTGAATGAAAAATGAGGGCCTTTGCAACAGTGCATATAATGTAGCCATTTAATACCTTATAAAAATTGTTGTATATTTCTATTTGATTTGGTAATGTGTTATATTAATCATCGTCTACACAACTATATTACCACTAAGTGCCAACATGTCTTATTCCCAAAGGAGAGATCTCCAGATTGATTAACACACACTCCTGCCTATATTTTGAATTTCTTAAAAGTATGATGAAGTAAACTTTAAACTTAAAGACCACTTCTAGAAAATATTCATGGTCTTCAGAATTGCAAATTAATTGGGGGGGGGGTGTTGCTGTTTTTGTTTTGTTTTTGCAGTGAAAGAAGGGTGATTTACCATACCTGTTAGCCAAAGTACAAGGCAGATTGTCACTAGGAAAAAAATTTATGTCAGCAGTGACTGCAGTCAGCTTCAGTATAGAACAATACTATTTGATAACATCAAAACATGTCTCCATCGTCATATGTTTTTCTGGTTCAACAGGTCATTTTGAAAGCGTTTCTGTATTTGTTATATTATTGTTTGCTGTAGCCTCTAGGATGCTTAAGGTTGATTATTTTTTAATTGAAAAAAAAAATCTGTAGTGTTTTTGTGTGCCTGCAATCACTTATTTTTTCGATTGAGTTTTCTGTAGCTGGAGTGGGTTTCACCCAGAGCAAAAATGAAAAGCGTTATGCTTTCTTTCTCTAAACCAGATGCCTTGAGGATTTCATTTCCCGAACTACTTCAAAAATATGTTTATTATTTCACAAGACAAAAGCAAGGATGTTATCACTTAGTCCTGACACGAAGTTATCTGAGCGAGTTAGAGTACAGGGATGCGCCACAGATCATGACCTGTATTCTCATTTCTCAGTAATTTCAAACTGTTCTTGAGAGCACCTATATCCTCATATCCCTAGCAACATGGCCACTCAGCTTTTTAACACCTCTTTCCCCATGTAATCTCAGCTGTTGCCTTCTTTCCCAGGTGAGGTATTTTTCTTTTCATCATTGTCTATCTAGAATTTGTTCTTTAGCTTAAGTAATAACTTATTTAACAGATTATGTTTTTTCTTCCAAATTTCTTTTGATTTCAATACTTTTATATTAAAAAATGGAAAGAGAATTATTTAAAAAAAAAAACACTTCCTGCCACTACAGTAGCAGTTTATCTTCTATAATGCTAAAAGGAGCTGATGGAAAGAACATGCTTTCAGGTCTCTGTTAATTTAGTAGTAATTCTCATTTAGATCTGGTTGTAACTGGGACTGCTCAGCTGTTGAACAGAGCAGAATAGGATTTCCTGGTGTTGATTGCATTAGAATTCAGAGGTCCTCAGTCATCTTTTTTTTTTTTTTTAAGCCTATCTATGGTCTTGCCAGTTTTGAGAATTATTTCTGTAGTAGCCTTCTGAGAGATTTTTTGCTGACACAGTCTTCCCAAGCACCTATAGAGGAGATGCTGGGAACAGAACCAGGGGTATATTCAGGAGGTGGCTGAAGTGGCATATGAGGAATGCAGTGGCATGAGTGAGGTGGTTTTTTTTAATGGAGGTAGTAGTAGACAGGAGAATAAACAGGACTTTTTTTCTTTTTTTTATTTCTTTTTTTTGTTGTTAGGAGATACTGTGCCAAGTTACTGTTCCTCAGTGAGGACTTGAGACAAGAGACAGTTCTATTTGTAGAGTTGGGGGAGTGTGTCTTTGTTACCAGCAACACTTTCTGACTCTCAGAAGGTTTCATCTCTGTCTTCTGTTGCAGAACTTGTGGCACTTCTATGTTCAAACAGATGTGAAAGCACTGGATTTTAAGATGGAGTTGTAATGTAGCCTGTAATGGCCTGTGAATGTTCTGAACAGGCAGTAGTGACCCAGCTCTAGACCAGAGTTGAAATGTCTGTGTTTCTAGCAGTTTTATTTATTGTTTTCTAAACGAAGCCAGTAGCTAATCATTGTATTTAGACCTTGTGTGTCTATATAAATGTGTAGATATGTTAAAAATGCATATGTGTGTTCACATGTCTGTGTCTCTCTTTTAAAAAAGAGTAAAATGGGTTCAAAGAAGTTTAAAAAATAGGAAATTATTAGTTTGGGTAAAACTGAGAAAGATTAGATTCGAAAGAGAGAAGAGAAGATCTATTCCAAATATGAAATCAGGGGAATAAACAATACAAGTGGAAGGAGAGGGTGTGACAGAGTAATATACTTGCATTAAAGAATAGTTTTATTTTGTCTCCTTAGTGCTATTAACAATGTTTCATGCACCCAGGAGATGTACTTACTGTGTGTGAGAGTTGACGGGGTCTCTGACTTGGGGAAGGATATCAGGAGAGGAACTCCCTTTCTCTCAAATTATTAACAGATAAAAAGTACAAGAACCACAGTGTTGAAATTATTGTTCTTTAGTGTGTGTTCTTGGAGGCTATACATGGCATCTTGTAGTGGTAGATGAAGAATGTAAAATAGGAATATTTTTTAATATTCATTTGGTCCAGCTGCAGAGGAGACATTGCTTGGATGTATGTTTAGCATCTTTGATGTTTTTTGTCTTTAATGCCAGTTCTATGTGGCCACTGAAGCCATCCTCACTGCATTGGTGGGCGCAACTCCTCCCTACCACTGGGATCTCCAGGAGCTCTCAGCTAATCAGAGCCATAGCAACCAGTCAGCGAGTGCACAGAGGGCTTTTGGGGAATGGCTTCTCACTGCCAATGGCAGCGAGGTGCATGAGCACGTACACTTCAACAGCAGCTTCACATCGATAGTCTCTGAGGTAAGTGTATTTGGTTTGCCTGGCCGGATTTCGGTGGGGGGGGGGCTCTAAGGTGGCTTCTGCAAGAAGCGGCTAGAAGCTTCCCGAGTCTGATAGAGCCAATGTCAGCTGGCTCCAAAGAGGGACCCGCTGCTGGCCAAGGCTGAGCCTATCAGTAAAGTGATAGAGGAACGCCTCTGTGATAACATGTTTAAGAAACGGGGAAAAAGAACTGTGCGACAACAGCTGGCACAGAGATGGAGGAGTGAGAATCTGTGAAGACACCAAGGTCAGTGAAGAAAGAGGAGGGGAGGATGTGCTCCAGGTGCCAGAGCAGAGAATCCCCCGGGTTGTGATGAAGACCATGGTGAAGCGGATTTTTCCCCTGCAGCCCATGGGTGGGGTGTCAATGTCCACTGTGGGGCAGAGGACTCCACATGGAGTGGGTGGATGCCTGAAGGGGGCTGTAGCCCGCGGGAAGCCCCCATCAGAGCAGGTCGCTGCCAGAGCCTGTAGCCCGTGGAAGAGTGAATGCCCACACTGGAGCAGGTTGGCTGGTGGGACTTTTGTGACGCTGCAGGGGACTCACGCTGGAGCAGTTTCCCCTGAAGGACTGCACCTCAGACTCATGAGGGGTGGCTGCCCCTCGTGGTGTGTCTCATGTTGGACAGTTTGTGATGAATTGCCCTTCATGGGACGACTCACACTGGGGAAGAGAGTATGAAGATTGTCTCCCGTGAGAGGGACCCCACAGTGGCCCTGGGAAAGTGTGAAGAGTCCTGCTCCAGAGTGAAGAAGTGGTGAAACCAATGTCATATGAACTGACTGTAACCCCCATTCCCTGTCACCCTGTGCTGCTTGGGGGGAGGAGGTGGATAAACTAGGATTGATGTTGAGCCCGGGAAGAAGGAGGGATGGGGAGAAGGTGTTTCTCTTTTAAGATCTGCTTGGTTTTTTTATCTCTCACTACTCTTCTCTGATTTGTTCTTTTAATAAATCTAACTAATTTCCCCAAAATTGAGTTTGTTTTGCCAAGGACAGTAAATGCAAGTGATCTCCCTGTCCTTATCTCAAACCTTGAGCCCTTTGATATATTTTCTCCCCCTCTGTAGTGGAGAAGGGGGCGTGAGAGAGCAGCTGTGTGGGCACCTGGCTGCTAGCCAGGGTCAGTCCACGACAGTAAGTCTGAAATGCTACCTCTTGTGTGAGGAGTAAATCATATTGAATTGGTTGGAAGGGTGCTGATTGTACTGTTTCTTTCTTCCATACTAATGCATGTTTTGATTAGCAAATGAAACAGGTGCTGCCTCCAGGTAGAGAACAAGTAATCTGCTCATATCTTTACTGGCAACAAAAACTAGCTTTCTTTAGCTGTGCAGATCTTGACCAAAGTAAGCTCCAGAACTTCCCACTTTTTCCATATGGAAGTTACATATTGAATTGAGCAGCGTCGGGGAAAGGGACCTGGGCATCCTGGTGGACAGCAGGGTGCCCATGAGGCAGAAATATGCCCTCGTGACCAAGAAGGCCAATGACATCCAGAGGTGTATTAGAAGGGGTGTGGCTAGCAGGTCAAGAGAGCTTCTCCTCCCCCTCTGCTCTGCCCTAGTGAGGCCACATCTGGGATATTGTGTCCAGTTCTGTGCCCCACAGTTCAGGAAGGACAGGGAACTGCTTGAGAGAGTCCAGCGCAGAGCCACAAAGATGATGAAGGGAGAGGAACATCTCCCTTATGAGGAAAGGTTGAAGAAGCTGGGTCTCTTTAGCTTGGAGAAGAGGAGGCTGAGGGGTGACCTCATTAATGTTTATAAATACGTCAAGGGGGAGAGTCAGGAGGATGGAGCCAGGCTCTTTCAATGATAGGACAAGGGGCAGTGAGTGCAAGTTGGAGCATAGGAGGTTCCACAGAAACATTAAGAAAACCTTTTTCACTGTGAGGGTGACAGAGCACTGGCACAGGCTGCCCAGGGAGGTTGTGGAGTCTCCTTCTCTGGAGACATTCGAAACCCGCCTGGATGTATTCTTGTGTGACCTGCTCTAATCCTGCTTCTGGCAAGGGTGTTGGACTAGATGATCCTCTTGTCATGCCCTTGCTGAGGTTAAATACATGTAGTGTCTTCATCATGAAGTTAGCAAGTGGCGGAGGAATGGAAGAGGAAGTGGTTTCTGTAATCTTTACAACCTGAGATATCCTAGAATCTTAGAATGCGTTGGATTGGAAGGGAAATTAAAAATCACCTAGTTCCAACCCCTCTGCCAGGGGCATGGACGCCTCCCACCAGCCCAGGTTGCTCAAAGCCCCATCCAGCCTGGCCTTGGACACCCCCAGGGAAGGTGACATCCACAACTTCTCTGGGCAACCTGTTCCAGTGCCTCACCACCCTCATAGTGAAGAACTGTGAGGGAAGACATGGGCAGTGGGGAGTCAGGCAGACAAAGCAACTCCTTCCAAAACAACCTTTAGCTTTGTTGGTGTTTTCTAAGTATCTTCTTTCATGATCTAGCTGCAGTCCCTACAGAAACGATTCCAGACTCTGCACTGGTGTTCGCAACACCTGCCCTTCCTGGGGCCTTCAGTAGCTGTTAATGGCAAATTATTGTGTGCCAAAGCCCCATCTGAGCACATCTGTTACAGGACCTGAATTTAGAGTCCTGCAGTTGAGTCAGGCGTGGCACCACTTGATAATTCATGGCTATTGTCCAGAGGTATTCATGCGCTCAGAAATAGTCCTGTAAAGCACTTTATTGGTTATCAGCATGTTAATAAGAACTGCCAGCTGTGGAGTAGTACCAAGCAGTCATCTACAATACACATTGCTACTTATTCTGGTAGTAAAGAGGATATGAATACTTACATTGCTATTTAAATTCAAGTCCTAACGAACAGTGAGTTTCTTAAAGATTAATTAAAGCTCAGTAATGTTTTCAAGCTTTCTCTGCTTTTGAATTTGTCCAACAATCTTTTATTCTCTTAAACCTGACAGTGTGTAGGTCATAGATATTATAAATATTCTTATGTATTTTAGTTGCATAAATAAGAATTTCGGGTAATGAATTAAGTTTACTTGAAAAATAACAAACTTAAAAAGAGTAAATCAGAAGGCACAACTTACATAGGTTCTGCTCTGTATTTTTTTTAACATACTCCTCAGTAAAGGCTACTGTGTATAAAATCTTGTTCCCTCTTCTGTTTCACGCTGTTAAAATACAGTATTTCCAGAATTTGTTAGCTGAATGTGTGGTATGTTTGGAAGTTATGTGCTAAATTCAAAGATTTTATTGAGATCGCACTTAATGGGGGATATCTCATCACTATCTAATTTGATTACTGAAATATAAAGAAGCTTTTGCAACATCTGAGGGGGATACTTTTAATGATTATTTTGTCACTTACTAAGACTATCACCATTGGAAATTTACACTGAAAAATACTCTGATATAGAAAATTTGATTTACAGTTATCAAGCATATATATTTAACAAGCTTTATGTGGAAGTGAAAAGCCTTGGGTCCTTTAAAGGGATTTGTAGCTCTTGGGATTAATTTGCAGAACAAATTTTCCTTTACAACCAAATTATCCCTTAATCCCTGAATGATTCAGAAAGCATGTAATGTCACTGAGTTTCAATGTTGGCAGCTGTTTTGATTTTTATACTAAAGCTTAGGGCACGATTCTTGTAGTTCTTATATAAAACACGCTGACCATGTTAGTTCAAGATAAAATTAATCTTGTATGCTGTTATTATACAACTGTATTTTTCTGGGAGTTGTTTTTAAAATCTAGAGAAGCTTCAAAAGCTGATTTGTGGTCACGTGGTTAGTTTCAGAATTGGATTTTTGTCAGTCTTGACGCTTTATGGGCACATTACCTACTGTATCAGTAAACACCTCACCATTAAAGTGACAATTCAAAAAGAAGCATATACTGAGAGTAAGCAAATTATTTTCTTGGAGCTTCTGAATGATTTTGTTTTGTTAGCTCCCTAATCTTGGTGAGGTTTAATTGCATGGCTCTGTTCTCATGGTGAGGTAGTTTATAACTGAGCTCTGAAGTAATACAAGGTTTGCTAGAAAAGATATCTAATGGGATTTTGGTAGAAGAGACGATTATGTGAAGAAGATCAGAGTGTTATTGCAGGAATAATGACATAATCACCAGCTTATAGCCACAGGAAGAAAAGTTGTCACTAAAAGAAAAAAAGTTGTGTCACTAAAAGGAAGCATTATCTTGATGCAAGAGGAGTAGAGAATTAAAAGATGGAGGGTGTTTATGATATGAAAGGAAATAACTTTTGAACAGTGAGAACATGGCATGTTTTCATTCTGCAGTTTTGTGGAGGAAAGTATTTCCTGTCAGGTTAACCGGAGTGTTAAGTCTGTAAAAATGAAACATATGAAGATCAGGTTTGTATTTGTAATTGAGAAAAACTGGCAGTGACACAAAGTACACTTTAAAAAAAAAAAAAAAGGTTTTCTGGTATTGTAAATATTCTTATCTAACACTACCGAAGTGTTTCATGGTGACAAGACCGTTCATAAGGAGTGGCATATAGAGAATAATCTTTGGACATAAACAACAATTCTTATTTTTGCGTAGTGCCCCTACACACTGCAGTGACATATGTCAAGAAGTAAGACTTGGTCAATTTAAGCTAATAGTTTTGTGTGAGAAAAGGCAATAAAAGGGAGAGTGGGAGAAGGCTGCAAAAATTACAATATTCTGTGAGGGATCTGTCCTTGATTTCAGAATCAAGGACTGCATGTGATGTGGGGCGCCTGTGCAATTGGTTAGTACCACCTGGTGAGTCAGGGAGGTGGCAGTTGTGTTGTGGTGACTATCCGATGACTGGCTGAACGTGGTGCTTAGGAGATTTGTGTGAAGTTTGATCTTCCTTAAAGTATGTGTCACCCTCCTCCAACCGTTAGCTGTTGGTGAACTGAACTGCTTGGATTCTGGTTAATTTGCTTTTTTTTTCCTTCCTTTATTCAGTGGTTTTTAATTGGCAACACATCGTACAAAGTCAGTGCTGCCAGTTCTTTCTACTTCAGTGGTGTGTTTGTTGGAGCAATCTCCTTTGGCCAGCTCTCAGATCGTTTTGGAAGGAAGAAGGTCTATCTCACAGGTAATCACTGTCGCTTCGTTTTGTAGGGTGGAAGTGTTGCGACACTGAAGATCAGTGGCAAAAGCCGTGTTTCTGTGGAGAGCTTGATACACAGGAGTGAATTGTGTGCTCTAATTTGTTTTGTTTTGTCCTTCCAGTATACTTCAGAAATATAAGTAAGGACGAGAAATAAGTGTTTGACTATTCAATCACCATCTCAATATCTGGAAGGTGTTCTGGATTTAGGAATCATACCATAAGAGTTTACACTCATGCATGTCATGCTTTTGGATCTCCACAGGTTGCCATGGATATGCTGAGTACTTTGTTAGCAATATTCCTACATGTATAACCTGATAGGAATTTCTTGCATCTCTTATCACCCATCTGCATGATGTAATTTTTGTGTATTTGTGATCCTCCTTGTGTTTCAAAGCTCATTTAGCTGCTTTTGCTTCCCTGGTTCAAACAGCATTTTGGAACTTCGTGTGTTGTGTATGTATATGTGAAGTAGCGTGTCAATGGATGAGCCTGTAGAATTTAAAAATAGATTTTTTTTTTTTTAAAGCAGCAACCTCATTTAGAGCACATAAAGGTGGGCCTGCTATGCAGTGCAAACTCTCCATATACTGTCCTGTGGTAACATTTCTCTTCTGTAGCTTGTACTTTTCAAGAATGAGGGGAGATATTTGGTCATGTATTTTATCTGTGGCATCTGTAAAAATAAATATCAAGCCATCTTAACTGAAGCCAAACAGTAGTTTTGAACACATGGAAAAAATGCCGTGAACTGAATTTTAAGGTTTAGTACTGCAAATTATGTATCAGAAACCACTCATTTTGTGTCCCTCTTTTTGTGATATTTACTTTAGATACTTAAATTTCTGCCCAAAGCTGCACTGCAATTGTTGACTGTGATTACTTAGGACAGATGTCACTGAGCATCAAGTGTAGGTACTGATAAATGCTTGTGTTCTTGCTTTAGTTACTCTTCTGAAACAAAACCTTTTTGCCTTGTTTTCCAGGTTTTGCTCTTGACATCTTGTTTGCCATTGCAAATGGATTCTCACCCTCGTATGAATTCTTTGCCATCTCTCGCTTCTTGGTAGGCGTGATGAATGGTGGGATGTCACTGGTGGCCTTTGTTCTACTGAATGAGTGTGTGGGTACTGCCTACTGGGCGTTGGCAGGTAAAGTGCGAGTGTCTTTATTGTCAGACTTTAAAGATTTCAGTCTCACACACTGCTTGAGAGACACTGGAGCTTACACCAGAGCAACTGTGACTTTAACTCTACTTGAGCAGCTATGATGACCACAGTCTGAGCCCTGCTTTGTTTAATATGAACCTTAGACAAGCACAGTAAATGACTTGGGGCCATTCAGGTTTCTGCATTGCTCAAGTTGACAAAGGTCCAGTTGAAAAATCCCCTGTGAATGTTACCCGGCTAAATATTCATCCAAGGTTCATGATAGCTAAGCTCTATCCATCAGAATTTTGGACTCTGCTAAACAGAGCTTACTGTTTATGTGCTAAATATCAATTATTTGATTTCTGGCAGTTCTTAAAAAGAAATAAAAAATGGTTTTATTTCTTGGGAAGATAAGCCAATTGTTTATATGTAAAAAAAATAAAAAAATTAAAATCTTATGTTGTAACGAGCCTTAGAATTTAGAACAGAAGATACAGACACCCTTAACTGTCTTGGTTGCTAGTGTTGAAGCTGTCCTTCACATATGATGTGTATAAATTGTACCGTTACTGATCTGGGACCTAAATTACCCAGTCTGTGACAAGTGCCAAAAGTGCTACACTGAGACTGGTTTAAAACAAATAGTGAGAGCTACAAATGAATACTATATATTCCTAAAAATACCAGTTTTCCAGTGGTTTGTAATATTTATTTTTACACATGGAAAGCTGAAACGTATTTGGAATTGCAGGACATAATTGTTTATGGTGCTTTGGGCTAGGAGGATGTAGAAGAGCACTTTTTAGACTTGTATTGATCTTGACACTAAGAGGTAATACTCTGCCTTGCATGGGTGAAGAACAGAATATTCTTTTGGCAAATAGCTGTGGTTTTGCCTGTATTCCTGAGTGGATTTTTCTTAAATGTTTGTTTCTGTCTGATATCTTGTGTCGACAGTTAGTAACGTTCCTTGAAGGAGTCATGATGTTTTGTTTTGTTTTATTTTTAATTGTATGTTAGGATCTATTGGTGGCTTGTTCTTTGCTGTGGGAATTGCCCAGTATGCTTTATTAGGGTACTTCATTCGTTCCTGGAGGACTCTGGCTGTTGTGGTTAACCTGGAAGGAACAATCGTCTTTCTTCTTTCTCTGTAAGTTATTTTTCAAACTAAGTTTCATCAGGAAAGATGTCAAAAATTAACAGAAAAGAAAAAAAGCAAAACAAAACCCCAGCCAAACAAAAAACCTACACAAAACTGATGAACAAACCAAACAACTGAGTCAAGGGGCCTTTCTCAGGTGGCATGATGTGGTGTGACTAAGGTATTTCTCTCAACCTCTACTGCTTCATGCTCTGTGCTTGCTTTAAATAGCAGTGCTGCAGTATTTGAAAACGTATCCATTGTATTGTGTATGTGTTATAGCTGTAGATGGGAATAGTCTCTGGAGTAGCGGGGAAGCACATCTTATTCTTTAACTGGTATATGTAGATTATCTAAACTGTGATCTGGTGTGCTACAAGACACTTGTATATATATGTTAAAAGTTACAGAACTGTCTGTGGTTATGTGGTTAACTTCATGTTTCTCTTATAATTGTGCTTACGCAGAAGGAATGGCATCAAAAAACTTGCATGTACAGTCTTAAAGGTGACATGCAAAATAAAAAATGGGCAGCTTCCTTTTTACTTTTTCCAAATGTGATTAGAAAAGAATAGGACAAAGGCTGCTTTATTTAGATAGCAGGGGGGTTGTGTTTGTGTACTTCAGCACTGGAATGTATATAGAATCATGGAATTGTTTAGTTTGGAAAACATTTTAGGGTCATTGAGTCTAACCTAGCACTGCCCAGTCCACCACTAAATATGTCCCTAAGCACCACATCTACCTGTCTTTTAAATGTTTCCAGAGATGGTGGCTCAACCGCTTCCCTGGGCAGCTTGTTCCAGTGCTTGATAAACCTCTTGATGAAGAAAATTTTTGTAATATCTGATCTGAACCTCCCCTGGTGCAACTTGATGCCATTTCTTCCTGTCCTTACTTGGGAGAAGAGACCAACCCCCACTTTGCTACAACTTCAGTCTTCTTTTTTCCAGGCTAAACCACCTCAGTTCAGTCGGCTGCTCCTTCCAAGACTTGTGCTCTAGGCCCTTCACCAGCTTCATTGCCCTTCTCTGGACACATTCTAGGACCTTAATGACTTTCCTGTAGTGAAGGGCCCAAAACTGAACCTTCCTACTTCTTCTGGCCACACTACTCCTGACACAGGCCAGGATGCCCTTGGCCTTCTTGGCTACCGGGGCCCACTGGTGGCTCATGTTCAACCAGGCTGTCAGTCAACACCCCCAGGTCCTTTTCTGCCAGACAGCTTTCCAGCCACTTGTGGCCAAGCCTCTAGTGTTGCCTGGGGTTGTTGTGACCCAGACGTAGGATCCGGCACTTGGCCTTGTTGAACCTCACATAGTTGTCCTCCTCCCATTGATCCAACCTGTCCAGGTGCCTCTGTAGAGCCTTTCTTCCCTCCCAGCAGATCAACACTCCTGCTCAACTTTGTGTTGTCTGCAAACTTGCTGAGGATGCACTCAATCCACTCATGCAGATCGTTGATTTAAGGATATTTTTAACAGAACTGGCCCCAGTACTGAGCCCTGGGGAACTCCGCTTGTGACCAGCCAATGACTGAATTTAGCTCCGTTCACCACAATGTATGGTGCAATGTACTGCTCTGCTCGTATATGCTTCCTAACAGCAAAATTGCAGTAGCTGAAAAGACAGCAATAACTTTGACTGCAGTTTAAACTTAAGGCTTTTTTTTCCTTCCATTTATTTAACTTCAGTAACTAACTTTTTAAATACAGCTATTTGCTAAAGGGCCAATGCATCCTTTCAGAAGAGGTATCAGAAGTTGAGGACTGGTCTTTGAGGCTCTTTGTGAGGTGAAGTGCAGACTTGACACTTCTGATATTCCAAAATTTACTGGTGTTTGGGGCCTTTGGAAAAAAAAAAATCTTTAACTTTCAGATTGATATGTACGGGTTTTTTTTGAAGTGGTTTATGCTTGGGATTTCAAAGCTGTGCCCAAAGGCCTATCTTGCTGTAAGAAAGGATATTTTTTAATACTATATTTCACCCTACCTCCTTCCCACATTGCTTAAAAAATACACTATGCAGAAAATACTACCAGATTTCATTTTATCATGCGGAAGAAAGCATGTTCCTTTCTAAGCTCTTTTCTTTTATAAAAGCACAGAATCCCTTTCCTTTAAAGGAAGAATGTCATTTCTAGTCAGAAGTAAAAAATCTTAAAACGCTTCTGGCAAAAGACTAAAGCGTGAATTAGTTCAGGGTATCTTGAAGTAACAGAAGAAGATTTGTTTTTTAGGCTGTGTTAGTTATAGCGCTATCAAATGAACAGTGCACATGGGGAGAAAGAGCATGACCTTTACATGGCTTCTGCAGGAGAGAATTTGGGAAAAAGTTGGGAAATGAGAGATGGAAGACTAGCTGATGTTTTGAAAACTGTGTGGCTTGTAGTATTGTGGTGCTTTCTTAAGTCCGAGTTCTTTGAAGACAAGATCCTAATGATACTGCAGCTTGTAGCGTTGTGCGCGTATATGTGTGTGTAAGTCTATAGTCCATGTAATTTCTTGGTATCTAGATAACATATACTTACATTCCCGTTCCTTTCAACTTGCTTTTTCTCCATTTCAATAAGTGAATTTTATACCTTAAGGGTGGTTTGAAAAATTCTTTGTTATACTGGAATGTATTTACATAGACAAGTCCAGCCTTGTAGAAAAACAAAGCCCTAAAGCTGTCTGTGTACGTGTTTCAGATTCATTCCAGAATCCCCTCGCTGGCTCTACTCACAAGGCCGGCTGAATGAAGCAGAAGATGCCCTCTACCTCATTGCGAAGAGGAACCGCAAGCAGAAGTGCACTTTTTCATTAAAACTCCCAGCAGAGAGGAGCTCCAGAGAGGCTGGCAGCTTCTTGGATCTGTTCCGATACAAGATTCTCTTGGGACGCACCTTGATCATGATGTTTACCTGGTACTTGAAATACTTTGTAGACTGAGCTGTGCTACTTTGGCCTCTTTGAGAGAAGGTGTTGCTGAGAATTGGCATGTGCTGCAGATTACACTTAGTCTCAGCACGAACCTAGAAGGGGTCCCTGTGTTACATATAGCATTCACAGAATCACAGAATTGTTGAGGCTGGAAAAGCCCTCTGAGATCATCAAGTCCAGCCTATGACCCAACACCACCACATTGGTTAGACCAGGGCACTAAGTGCCACATCCCG